AATTTTTTTAAAAGTGATCATGTTTGTTCTATTTCTAAAGCCAATGCATATGTGCAAAACGATGAGTTGGATCATATGAAAAACCACATATCTTCTTTAGATTCAACCCTTAATAAATGTATTGATAACAATAAGAAACTTAAGGACATATGTGCTAAGTCACAAGTTACTAATGCAAAATCACCCACTCACTATGCACATATGTATAGAAAAGTTTATAAATGCACTATTTGTGATCGTAAATGCCATCTTGCTAAATTTTTCTATGATGCACAAAAACCCAAAAATGCCAATATTAATACTCATTGTGCATCTCATAAAGTATCATCACCACACACACACACATACATTAACTGTTCATCCTAAGTATGCCAATGTGTATAAGTGTGATTATTGTGGTAGAGTTGGTCATTTAGCAAAAAAAAATTTTGATTTGCGAAAAGTTTTAAAATCGCAAAATATTTTAAAAAGACCAACTTTGTTTAAAAATGTTTCTCGAGTATAACTAGACAGTCAACAAAAACAACTTCATCCATTCCATTGCACTTATTGCAATAGGATGTGCTATTTGCATAATTATTGCTATGACCGCACACATGCACTATATTCACCCTCATAACCCAAGGGCTTTAGAATTCATTGATAGGGGTCATGTCTCTAAACTCTTCGGCACCAAGAGTGTTTGGATGCCAAAACATTTTTGATTTTAAAGAATAAATGTTTGGAATTTTTATTTTTCCCATTCTAACACATGTTGTCGGATAGCCTATTCCCATAATAATGATGAAGTCTACGTATTCAATATCATAACACTAAGTCTAAGAGAGCTCATTCTTTTAGCATAACATCACATGTGGAACGGACCTAGAAAATCCACATGCTAGTCCAACTTAAACGGTAGTTGGTAAAAGCTCATCAAATACCTTAACGGCTGAGGGTTTGCCAAAAATCCTATGAATATTATGTTTATTTATTCTAAATAGAATGATTAATCATAATAAAAATACACTAATCAAAAGTTTCATTTTATTGATGAAGTAAAATCATAGAGTACAAACATATTGTGATTAGTCTGCAGAGAGCTGTTGACTACGAATTTGCTTCTCTAACTTTGAGAGCTCCTCTACGTAAACTTGTTCAAGTTCAGTCTGCAAATCAGCTTTGATGGAGTCTTTGGTAGCGGCCAATGCCTGTGCAACCTCGTTCTCCTTCTTAGCCAATTCCTCTCTCTCGAGCTTCAACTTCTCGAACATCTGAGCATCAGCACGCTCCATACCAGCCATGTCCATTTCCCGGATGGCTTGAGCCTCCTTGGCTTCCCTAAGTTCTTGCTCAAGTCAAGCTATTTCTGCATGGCCCGACTCGAGAGATAGATGCAAGTTGAGCCTCCTTCTTGCTTTATTGGCAAGTCCCAGCTCCATCTGCTTTACACGACCCTGTAGTCTTCTGAGTTCAACTCATAGATGCTCGGGTGTCGTGCCACGCCTTCAGCCTTGACTCCAGGTGAGCAGCTACGTATAAGGAAGCACCAGCAGCCTGAAGCTCCCTCAACTTGTTAAGCTCTTGCTCTAAATGAGCCAAATCTGTAGCAATGGAGTCCGCCAAGTCACCATATCCTTCTTCCTGGATATTTGACACGTGTCGATCAAGAAGATGCCTAAAGCTATTGAAAGGCAATCCTCCGTGAAGGACCCTGTCAATCATTCCACTCAGGAAAGAAGTAAAGATGACGAGCTCTGTGCTAATCATGGCCCTATCTAGATCTTCATCCGACATCAACGCTTTAATCATGTTATACAAAGATGAAGGAGGTGCTACAATAAAAGAAGGAAAAGTAAGCACTCCCAAAAGTCGTTAACGGGAGTCCAATATTCAGGGTTCTGAAAATAATGGTAGGAGGAGGCATACCGATGCTGACAGAAGAACCCTCAACATGGTGTTCTTGCCTCCACCTTGTTGACTCAGCTTCATGAATGGCTGAAGGTTGTTGGGATACGACAATTGTCAATGTTCACTTGGTTTTGCAACTTGAATAGCAGGGCTAACCATAACTCCAGTTGAGGCCTCCATAAGCATTGGATCTAAGAGAACGGCAGCTTCAGGTTAGAGAGTAGAGGGTGGAGTTCCAGCAGTAGCATGCTCCAAGCCCGAAGTGCCTAAGACCTCGAGCTGTTCAGAAGCCCCAGAGGTTGTAGCCGTATCAGCACCAATAGCTAGTCCAACAATCAAAACTCCCATGTGGTTATTCCAAAAACTAACAAATGGGGAAAGATGACTTCGGGATAAGATCCATACCTGCAGATGAACTAGCTTTAGCAGTTGGTCCTACAGCCTCACCAGGAGTTTTCCCCGATAACAAGTTGGAGGTTAACTTATGGTCATCTTTAGAGAGGTCCATATCAAGGGCGTGTTCATCAAAATCCCCGATCTTAGCATCATGGGCAGCCTCTTCTTCAGCTGATCCTTCCATCATAACATTTACAACGTAAGCTAAATTTTAAGCACAAGAGGAAAAGTAAGAATTCACGTCAAGTGGAAATCAGATGTACCTTCAGTTGCTCCAGCAGATCTTGTAGCCTCAACACTTGTGCTCGCTTCCTTTAGTTTCTCTATAAGAGCATGACACGTAGAAATGATTAGAGGAGGTACGAGTTCTGAATCGTTCAACTCTTTGAGCTGCCACATGAATAAGGTAGAGTCTGGATAGGATATACCTGCGCTGGAGGCTGTTATGGTAAGTTTGATGGTAGGGTCAGGTTGAACACCAGTATCCGCACCAGCTTTAGTGCTCAGAGGCTCCTCACTAATAGCTTCACACATTTGTTGAGTGAAGCTTGATCTTTCAGAGTGAGTAAGCCGGGAGAAGTAGGCTCGTACGGAAGCTCACCTTCTTCAAAACCCCTTATAAAAAAAGAAAAATAGGGATATATTCAGTAAACTTGAAAATTAAGTATGAGAAGCTATATAGAAGTAAGATATTACCTTCTTCTTCAATAGGAAGGTCGACGAGCTGCTCCTCTTCAAATGAAGGTAGTTCGGTACATGGCTTGTGCGTTACCTTCTTCCGCTTCATAGGTCGAGCTTCTTCAACAATGACAGGTCTTTCCTGTCGAAACTTGGTACGCAATTCAACCCGTGGAGAAGTGGTAGTCTGAGCTTGAGTCTCGGCCTAAGTTGAAGGTCGAGATCATTTCCAATGGACAAGGCTAGCTTCGGTAAGCTCCTCTTCTTCTTCTTTAACCCCACCTGGAAGATCGACTGTCATCTTGTGAGGATGAGTAAACATGATCTTTTGCTTAGGCTTCTTCGAAGCCATTGGAGACTTGGACTAATCAAATTAGCAAGTCTGGCGGGCAATGGGTGAGCTCGAACCCCCTCTGGTAAAGAAAGATGATGGAAGGCCCGATGTATCCTCTTCCTCTTCATCGCCCTCAGCCCTGGTGCTTTCAACCCCGACAAAGCCTTCTTCGGAGGTCTCTTCTTCATCGGTTGGAAGAATTTCCTTCTCCTCTGCAGCTACTTGTTTTCCTTTGCCGGATGTTCCAGCAGGCTCCTTCCCCCTCCTCGAGAGCACAACCTCTCGAACTATCTCCGCGGGGGGGGGGGGGGGGGGGGTGATTAGGGTCTTAAGGAAATAATAATGCAATAAAAATTGAAACAAGCAATACACCACAAAATGAACAATCAAAGTAAATGAGATAGGGTTAGAAATTATTATCCAAGTGACGCATGATGTGTTAATGAGGTTCGGTCAGCTGACCTACGTCCCAGCTCCCTACTCTCGAGGAGAATCTACTACACAACCCGGTTTGAAAGCCGGAACTTTTTCTACAAAACAATCTCTACAAGATCTCACTACCACACAAATGATCTCCACAAGATCAAGCTCACAACAGTAGTAAATTGTGTAAAATCTCTCTCTTTATAGTAACCCTATGGCAAGGAGAGAGATCACACTTGAAGCTTGGGATGTGAACTTGAAAATAGAGAAAAACAGGATTGAAAGTTCAGCTCTTTTGAAAACAGTATAGCAAAACTCATGATTTTTAAAATGCTTGGGGCAGGTTGAAGAAGAAGGGTATGAGGGGTTTAAATAGGAGAAAATACAACTGCCAAAACCCATACCCAAATCTCCCCAAATCCCGTAAAAAAAGATTTCCGAAACTGTACTAAAAAACCAGTTAGGGTGAACGACGGTCGACCGTGGGAATTTTGCGGTCAACCGCGCGAAACTACAGAAACTTATTTTGGCTCTGGACTTCAGCCGGTCGACCGTGACGGTCGACCACGAAACTCTCTGGACTTCATACGGTCGACCGCCACGGTCGATCGCGAGCCTCTGAAGAACATAATGAGTCTCTGGACTGCATCCGGTTGACCGTACAAAAAAAAAAAAAGCCTCTGAAAAACATTCTGAGTCTCTAGACTCAAGGCGGTCGACTGTGGCGGTCGACTACAAACAGATACATGACAAAATAGGTTTTAAAACAGTTTTTGACTCTTTTAAAAAATCTATAAAAATACTCAATTGATTTCTAAACATTGTGTAACTTTGTAAAATGTTTTTAATACTAAAAACAAACTGTTTAGAAAAGAAATTTTACGAATAGGTCCTCATACTTGTGAAAAACAATATTTTGACAAAATGCTCAAAAGTATAAGTATGAAAACGTGTGTGATATCCCAATAGCTTCAAATGAAATCTACAACTACTTGCCTACATTCTAGCACTAGAGAGAAAAGAAAAACTAGCAAATATCCTCACATAGAATTACACTAGTGTGTACCCCGTGCCAAGCACGGCCCTCGCCTCTTTTCTACAATTCGTTAATGTTGTTTGATCTCAATTTTATTTTTATACAAAATTATTCTTATAGCTAGCAACTATGAAGACCTTCAAATGAGTTGCAATTGGAAAATTGATGCCTAATAATATTGTATGGTGCAAATATAACAATACTATTCCAACAACTCACACATAATGGCCTAATAAAACAATATAGCAACAAAACTCTACATTCAATATAACATATATTCATGAATCAGTCACTTGAGTGACAACCAATCATGAATTTTTACGAAGGAGTTATCTCTTGATGCATATTTTAGTTCATCATACAAAATAATGCAAACTATCCTCTTAACTATATCGTGTCTCAAAGACAAACATTATAATATCGTATATTTATCATTAGGGGGGAAAAAGAAACAAAGCCAGTAAAAAGAAGAGAAATAAGAGCAAAACCTGAAATAGAACAATTACAGGCTTAAATGGGGTCTTGGATTATGTAGGCGTGGAAATTTCCTACTCCGAGATGTTCTTAACGACCTTCTCCGTCACCTGAAAACATAGAAGTTCATTATCACTGATTCTAACAGAAAAATTATAAAATATGAAACTGACCTGTCCAAAAAAATATTTTCAAATATTAAAATTGACTACCATAAATCATCAACTAAGTATAATAATCTCTTTATTAATGTGTCTTTTCAAAGATTTGTTATTAATGTTAAACAGAAATAAGTAGAAAATGAACAAAATTTTGACAGAGGAAATCTTCAGATCTGAGCACATATCAATAGTTTATTACTTTAGAGGAAATATTCAGATCTGAGCACATATTAATAGTTCATTCTCTCGCCAACTACGGCAAAAGAAATCTTTATTTTCTCCTCAATAAAAGCTCCCCAAAATTTCTAAAAAATGATCAGTAATTGTTATTGACGAAATTTAGAAACTTTTGTTTTAATCTTCATGGTTATACCATCCCTAGCCATCATTAACCAAATCATACCTCCCCTCAAAATTATACTACAAAATTTAATCAAAAATCATACCTTTCTCGAGACCAATTGTTTCCCGATCTCCAGCCATTTGTTTTTAATAGCTTGTGACAAACTGATCTTAAAAATCTGACTACCTACTATTTTCTAAAAAAAAAATCAAACAAAAAAGATAAATAAGCACAATCACCAAACAAAAATACTCAAAAATCTCAAAATTATTACTATATTGTATAATTTTTTATTTAAGAGCACAAATTGTAGAAACGTCATAATTGCTGAACTATATTTCACTTTATAGTTTTGTACCTGATTTATGTAATTATAGACTTGGTAATGATTGAAAATAATATTGCATGTGCTTTGTAATTATGACTATGAAATATGCATATGAATGTGTACCTGATTTGAGCCACTACTTCCCTATTACATGATTTGCAACAGACTTGTCCTGAAGTTGATTGTTTTTTTTGCACAATCTCGACATCCAACATAACGCCAATCTAGTTCCTTCACAACTCTAATGATTTGCACATTGCATATGAAAAAGTAATCCTATAATTGCAGAAGATGGTGTTATCATTTATTAAATAGATAACTCATATATTGAATGTGTTGTTCAACTGTTTTTAAAGAACAAAATAAAAATAAAAGTAAGTGCAACATGTTAATGAACCATCAATTTCTTTGAACTATGCATATATTTTTTCAAAAAGTATATATAAAAAGCTCACATTTTGTTCAGGATGAGTATAAGAAGAATCACGTGTTTACTTTTCCTTTAAATAGAATCACACTGTTTACTTTTCCTTTAATAATTGTTACATTCATGCATTACTTTGCTTCCAGAAAATATATTTTCTGAATTTTTTACTGTGCTGGCCTTTTCTGTAGTTTTTTGCATTTTCTGACATTTCTCTTCAACTTTGCAGGCAGGTAACATATAACAGACATAAGTGTTCAATTTGCGCACACATGGGCTCTTTATATTTAGAAGAAAACCAATTGAAAATTAAAATTCATAGAAAGGTAAATTTTTGCATGGAGTTCTGTTGTCATTCTTTTATCCTTGTCTGCACAACCTTTTGGTTAAATCCTCAAAATTCTAATTTCTCGCTTAATGTTCATTTTGTTCTTTTTTTCTCTGCTGCTGCTGGTGTAGGCATAAATATGCTAAAACATACCCACAAGATGTGACATTATTTCCATTATGGTAACTGTTCCGACATAATGATTTTGTGTGACATTATATTATATATTCATAATACTGCTAATGAAAAGGGCTAAATGTCAACTCTTTTGTTCTTCAAGTTTTACCAGCAAACTGCTTCAGGCTTCTTTTTTTAAGCATTATCTTAATTCATTTTGACTTCAGTAACGAAATCAGCATTTTGGCTGGGATGATATGTACATAATTTGACTTCAGTTAGCTTATGATCATCACGTACATTAGTTGTTTAAATTCATGCAAAATATTATCTACCATACATACTATAACATTTGGGCAGGGATGATATGTACATAATTTGTCTGTTAAGAAATAAATATGAAAGTAAACTGAGAAAGTAATTAAGGCTTCACATTTCTTGTAATCAGATAAACCATAGAATTTCCAGAATTCCAATGTCGCATAAGTCTCTTGTGCTTCATTTACTCTTTTCTTTCTCTCTATGCAACAACTCTTTTTTCTAGGTTCTTTTGAGAGTGTACTATTTTGACTGTAAGCGCTAACATGATTGAAGGAACTACACATTCCACTAAATATCACTTAATCTAACAATATAATTACTCAATCAATCTACCCCTAAGAGTGTTCAACCTAAAAATTACAAATAACTCAATTTTAAATAATTAAGCATAAAATAATTGAAAATCAAAAAAATTCAAAAATTACATTATGTTCCAAGAAATTCAAAATAAATTGGAAAATGAGTTGAGAAGAGATACATTGTCGTCTTTGTCTTCGAGGTCTTTGGAGTCAGAAGCCTATGGAAGAAAAAGAGGACTTTGATCTGAAGTAAACAGAACAGATATGACAAAATCATTACATCATCAAAGAAGACTTTGATTTGAATCCACCTGCAATTTCCATCACTAAATATCATCAATCAGGACATAAAATCCTCATAATCAATCAATACTGTTCAACAAAGGGTTATGATCACTAAATTTAAGGAATTATAATCCAGCAATTTTAATGAATTTTTAAGGAATTTTTTTATTTGTGTTCACCTGTTGATACTTGAAGGCACATTCTCAGATGACACGATCACAACTTGGATATCCTTGAGAGATTGTGAATATTTTCAAAATAAATAAAGATTGTGAATATTTTCAAAATAAATAAAAAACAAAATTTTCAAAAAGTATATATAAAAAGCTCACATTTTGTTCAGGATGAGTATAAGAAGAATCAGAAGATGATGAATCTACTTGCTCATCTTGCTGCAAGTTTAAACATATTACCTAAATCACATTTTGTTCAGCAAAAAATATTACCTAAATCAAGTTTAAACATAAGGTTTAGGTATATGATCAGAATTAGGCACTATTAAGATTAGCTAAATCAAATTTAATCATTATAAATAGAAATTAGCATCTTCAGTATGCTAAAAGAAGTAACTAAATAATCCAAAAATAACAATCTAAGGCGCAAAAAATTAGAATTTAGCTCAAATTCATCACCATGATTTATATTTCAATCACTATGCTCAAATTCATCACCAATCACCATAGAATTGTTTGAAATCTGTATTATTAGTTTAAAGCACAATAGTTTTTCAGTTATGTTTCTCATCAGCACAAGCATTTGATTACAACTTTCATGGAAATTTATATTAAAACACTGCAGTGTTGTCAAAATCTCAGGTCTAGCAAAGGAGGAAAATTAAAAAAAAAAAAGCTAGTGATGGAAGTGCATGAGAGAAGGACATCAATTTGATATTCAATGTAGAACAGGGATAAGTTATCAGCAAATATAAACTCCATAAAGTAAAATTCTAGGAAACAAAATTCTAGTGAATGTGAAAGTGAAACATCAGATTGCTTTGAGGAAGTTGCTTTAAGCCTTCATTATAATACACAGAGATGATGCTAGTCAAGTAATAGTTTACGTAAACCCACTCAAAATAACTGGCAGTAACTCCGCCTGAATTTGCAAAAAACCCACACAAAATAAAATCAGAGAAAGTACCTGCAGTTTTCTTCTTTTCAAAGAGGAAATCTTGGGATAGAGAATTATGAGCAATTTGTGAAGGTCAATCAACAAATATCAAATTAAAAGACTGATTACTATAAAAGACATACTTTGATAATTCTTATAGAGAATAGTTATACAATTTGGAATGTCCAGCGGAAAATTCCTTGGGTTCGTCGTCACCACTAAGGGTATACATATCGATCCCGATAAGGTGAAGGCGATACATGAATTGCAGCCTCCGAGGAATCTAAGAGAACTCAGAGGATTGCAAGGGCGGCTAGCTTACATCCGGCGGTTCATCTCAAACCTTTCTGGGAAGTGCCAACCATTTTCTAAGCTAAACAAGAAGGGTGTGTCATTTATTTGGGACGACGCCTGCCAAAAGGCACTCGAGGATATCAAGACATATCTGACAAATCCTCCTGTTCTTGTTGCACCGAAATCGGGTAAACCGTTCTTGATTTACATCAAGGCGATGAACCATTCGATAAGTGCTTTGCTAGCACAAGACGACGATAACGGTCACGAACAGGCAGTTTATTACCTCAGTCGGACCTTGGTAGGCGCTGAGTCTCGATATCCGATGATTGAGAAAGAATGCCTTGCATTGGTATTTGCGATGCAAAAGATGCGGCATTACCTAGTGGGACAGACGATCTACGTTATCTCCAACGTTAATCCAGTACGGGTGTTTATGACGCAACCGGCCTTGTCCCAATATGATTTGCATTTCAAGCAGCAGAAGTCGATCAAAGGACAAGCGATTTGTGATCTTTTGGCGGCAAACCCGACCGCAGATGCGGCAGAAGTATATGATGACTTGCCGGATGAAACCCATGAGGTTAATACTACATCACACCAACAAGTATGGCAATTATATTTCGATGGTGCCTCAAGGTCAGTTAATAGGGTAATAACCCCGGGAGGTTATACAGTTTCCTCCGGGGTTGGAGTTGTCTTAATCTCCCCAGGAAAGCATGTGATGCCTCGAGCTTATTCGCTGACTAATCCGTGCTCCAATAACGTAGCCGAATACAACGCACTTCTCATTGGACTCAGTTTCGCCAAGGAGCTGGGGGTCGAATATCTCGAAGCTTTTGGGGATTCTCAACTGATAGTCAACCAAGTTCGCGGAGAGTATGAAGTCAGGAATCCAGACTTGATCCCATACCACCAGGAAGCCATCAGAATGGCAGAATCTTTTGAAGAATTTTTTATCGAATACATCCCACGCCTCCAGAACGCTTATGCGGATGCACTGGCAGCGTTAGCGGTATCACTTGCACAACCTCCCGAAACTGAACTCTTGGTCACGGTGAGGACGCATCAACTCTGCGTACCCATATACAGTAGGGATATTGAAGAGGAAGATGACGGAAACGTAAACGCCAAGGAGGTGAATTCAACTCAAATTGGGTCTGAGTCCCGAGATTGGCGTTTTTCTATCATTGACTACGTCCAATATGGTATTTTACAAAAATAAAAACATAGTATAGCAGTAATGGAATCAAGCATTAAAAAAAATTTCTACTCAAGTAAACTTTCTCCATGCTCGAGAGCGCCGATGTAAAGAACGATTGAGACTGCGAGCCCTGTGATATATTAAAAACAGCAATTTATTTACATAACACCTCAATTCACGTTTCTTCTAAAACAAATATCAAAAATAAGAAAAGATCACCTTCGTGGTTCTTCAGTTAGAAATCAGGACACTGTGCATTGCGCACCCAATCCCCAAATCGAGTTGGCCGCGGCCCCATGTTGCTCTATTTATGAAAATGCCACTGTCGTCCTCTCCTCCGTCTTCTCCTTCCTTCGTCCTATCTTCATCGAGACCGACTCCTCCATCGTTCGATAGAGGAGGCGAGAGAGGAGAATCGACCTTCGATTTCTCTGAAGGTTGCTGCGGCGTTGATGAGCTTAGGTTCCTCTTAGATGCGAACATCACGGGAGATTGGTGATCGTTATGAAACCCTAATTTTGGCATAGGAGACTCGAGGAGAGAGGAGAGGAGACGCTGGAGCTTGCTCGCCATTATTTTTTTTTGGGTTTTGATTCGGGATCCGCGAACTGAGAGAGAGGGAGGGAGGGATGGCGAGAATGTCGAGCTCGTTGCTGAAGAGGACGGCGTCGAATACCCTCCTCGGGGTCTCTCGGACGTTCCAGCCGTGGAGGCGGTAGAGGCTGTCCATGGTGAGAAGCCTGAGAAAGGGGTTTTTCTTGCTTTGATTTTTCTCCATTTCCCCCCTCTTCTTGCTTCTGGTTGCTTCTGGAGAGAGAGAGGAGAGAGGGATGTGGGGGGATTCCTAGAGAAGGGGTTGCTTCTGGAGAGAGAGGGGAGAGAGAGTGAGGTGTGGGGATTCCGAGAGAAGGGGGAAGTTTGAAATTTGAATCGGTTATCTGAGAGAAGCTGGAGGTGGGCTCGGGTTCAGAATGCAAATGGGAGGAGAGAGAATTACTGTTCAATTTACTGTAGCATGAACAGGAA